TCGCTGCACTAGTCTAATCAGCTTTTGCTGAAAGTTCCGCCTGTCCAGTAAAAACACGTTGAACTTCAAGTGTCCAGCAATTCTAGGCCTACTATTTAACACCACCCGGGAACAGACGAGTCTATGATCCGAATAGTCTAAACGATGGAACGTGAAAATTCTGTCTAGGTAGCTACCTGAAAAGACGGCTATTTTTGTGCCAACGATGATTTATGAGTGTTGTGCAACATTAAAGTTTTTGCTCTCACTTGTGTATTTTTCTTCTTTTTTTTTGCCGCGACCGATTTTATTTATCTCTCGACCCACTGAAGGGTAGAGACCCACACTCTGAAAAACCCTACTCTAGACTAACGTAGCCGGAAAAAAAGTTTTAAGGGATTATCTAAATAAGTCAAAATAATTTGTTTAATTTGATACGGTACTCACCTCTTTTGTTGTTAGGTGACTACATTTTTAGTAAATATTTTATGTCGCCTTGAACATTTGTCAATCAAACAATATTTGGCGGACTCATGTGAGTCCAGGCATAAACAAGGTACAAAAACATAGAGTTTAAACAAACTACAATTAAATGCATATATTAACAAAATGAATTACATTAATGTGTACACAGTCGAAAAGGAAGTATATTAAAAGAAAAAACTTATCCATGTGCTTCTTTGTGTACGCGATATAATCGTCTGTAATGCACACATATGTATATGTGCGTGTGTGTTCAGTCATCAGTCGACCGGGGAAGTGAAAGCACTCCAGTGGGGACAGCTTACTTACGCTCTACTACATCGGGGAGCTAGAGGAAGAAAGAGAGAAAGAAAGAGAGGAGATGGGAATATTTGTCTTTTTATTGACGTAAACAGCGCCACCTAACTGTAATTTGGTAAAGCCTAGTGAGGTAACCCACATCCCCAAAGGATGCTTCAGTTGCGTTTTATATTGGAGCGTCTATTTTTTCAATAACGGCCTTTGGTTTCAGTTTGGCATCTGCAAAAACAGATTTGCGCATATAGTTCAAGATATTTATTCCAATGTTTTTTTTTCTTTAATTGAGTCCGAAGCACGGCGATAAAGACACTGCAATAAAAATGCAAGGGGGTTATCGGGGAACTGAGAAAACGTTATCGAGGAGAATGGGCAATATAAGAATAGATTTTAAGGAGACAGAACATGCTGATTGAATTTGCATTTAAATTTTCGAAGATCGTAGTTGACAGGAAAGCAAGAAGTCGGAAGAGAGTTCCACAAGTAAGGAGTGCGGTATCTGTCTATATCTCTGAGATGAGTTATTACAATTACTTGCATTATTTACGTTATTCGGACTGTTATCTTCATCTTCATTGCCATATTCACAACGCTCCGGACGTTGTACTCTCCGGCCTTCTTCAGGTGAGTGGATTTTTTCTTCAATATCTGTCTATATCTCTGAGATGAGGTATTATAATTACTTGCATTATTTACATTATTCGGACTGTTATCCTCATCTTCATTGCCATATTCACAACGCTCCGGCCATTGTACTCTCCAGCCTTCTTCAGGTGAGTGGAATTTTTCTTCAATATCTGTCTATATCTCTGAGATGAGGCATTATAATTACATGCATTATTTACATTATTCACACTCAACTTCATTGCCATATTCACAACGCTCCAGCCTTCTTCAGGTGATTGGAATTTTTCTTCAATATCTGTCTATATCTCTGAGATGAGGTATTATAATTACTTGCATTATTTACATTATTCGGGCTGTTACCCTCATCTTCATTGCCATATTCACAACGTTTCAGCCGTTGTAAGCTCCGGCCTTCTTTGGGTGGTTGTTCCGAGTAATACCCCCCACCCCATAGTGGAGAACATGACTAAGGACTGTGTGTACGCCATCCCGTGCAGCTGGGGTAAGAAATATAAAGGAGAAACAGGGCGCCCTCTTAAGGTAAGACTGCAAGAACACCGTAAAGCAGTAACACAAAGGAAAATAGAAAAAAACAGGCGTAGCTGACTACATGTAGAGGGAAAAGGGAGATCACCACCCGCAGTGGGATGAGGTTGAAATAACAGACAGAGAACATCACTGGAAAGTACGAAAACTTAAGGAATCGGCACATACTCTAGGCCACAAAAATCTGAGCCGACCAAGTATAGAAATGAATACAATATGGGAATCAGGAATAAGAAGTGCTAGAGAAAAGAAATGAATAACAACAAAAAATTGCAATATAAACTCTGGCAAAAAATGATTGCTGAGACATTGGTTTTATAAATCCCAGAAATTCATCCACAGATGTCCTCAAGCATAAAGGCGTTGGTTAGATCAAGTAACTGGTCCTAAAGAGTTGTGAGTTCAATACGAGGCTACAGCAGTAGTGAACCTAAACTTGAATAGTTGAGTTAAAGGAAAATAACTGAGACATCCAGAAGAGGCATGTCATGTGGAACTAGAAGAATACACACTGGTGGACAAAATAAAGCTTCGATTTGAAATTCCAATCGCCTGAAGAAGACCGGTGCGTACAATATAGCAATGAAGGTGAGGATAACGGTCCGAGTAATATAAGAAATCTAGTCTGCTGTATTGTTTTTTTTAATTTTATTTATTCTGCAATATTATCGGTCCTGAGCTGGCAGCTCGGCTTCAGTCACTTTCCCAGCGCCGTAAGGTTGCCACTCTGTGCATTTTTTATAAATACTTTTTATGGTAATTGTTCGGATGAGCTCATCGCTATGGTTACCTAGACTTTATGAATTTAATCACAGTACCAGACTGGCGTCGAGATCTCATTAATTTACAGTTTAGCTGGCTAAGATGTAACCGTAAGTTCTATGCTAATAGTTCCTTTTCTCGCACTTCTCGTTTTGGAACTCCATCCCGGCTTCATGCTTTCCAGCTAACTTTGATCTGCAAAAATTTAAATGCAATGTCGATCGCTATCTACTGTCCACCTGATTACTCTTTTCCCTTCCCACTCATTATTAATGTTTCTGTTCTCTAATTCATCCACAGCCAGTAACTCCTTGTGTCTTAGTGGCTTTACCTCCTTGCATGGGGTGAAACCGAGTGAATAAAAAAATATGATGGGAATATCGAAGAGTCTTTCAATTAAAAGATTAACACAATATGTTGTCACCTATTTTCTTTGCTTTTTTTCTTCAGCCCTTTACTCTAAAGCTCTTTTCATGTCCACATTCAAACTCTATACTATATTAGTTATATCCTAATATATAATAATAATAATAATAATAATAATATATGAAAAGAATTTTTACGGCCTTTTACTTCAAAGCCTATTTCATGTACATATCCTTTCATTTTTACAGCCTTTTACTCTAAAGCGATTTGTATGTCCACATTCAAACTTTATCTGCGAATATACTATATTTGTTATATTATTATTATCATTATATATTCGAATATATCAAAAGGATTTTTTTAATTTTTGACAGCCTTTTACTTCAAAGCCTATTTCATGTACAAATCCTTTAATTTTTACAGCCCTTTACTCTAAAGCTCTTTTCATGTCCACATTCAAAGTCTATCTATGAATATACTATATTTGTTATATCCTAATATAAAATGATAATAATAATAATATATGAAAAGAATTTTTACGGCCTTTTACTTCAAAGCCTATTTCATGTACATATCCTTTCATTTTTACAGCCCTTTACTCTAAAGCTCTTTTCATGTCCACATTCAAACTCTATCTACGAATATACTATATTAGTTATATCATTATTATATAGTAGGATGGTAGCTAGACTTTATGAATTTAAGCGCAGTACTAGACTGGCGTCGAGATCTCATTAATTTACAGTTTAGCTGGCGAGATGTAGCCGTAAGTCCTATGCTAACAGTTTCTTTTCTCGCACTTCTCGTTTTTGGAACTCTCTCACGGTTTCATACTTTCCATCTAACTCTGATCTGCAAAAATTTAAATCCAATGTCAATCTACTGCCATCTTGATTACTCTCTTCTCTTCTCGCTCATGATTAATGTTTGTATTCCTAATTATTCCACCCTCTGTAACCCATTCTGTCTTAGTGGCTTTACTGCCTTACATGGGGGGCGATTTTTAAAAAATATTCATAGTATCAGTACGAAATATTCAAATACGTCAGCCATCGAGCAGGTCTTTTTAAAATTTGTCTTCATATTCGAGACCCAGTGGTGTAATTAATAGCGGCTCGGATTGAGGAACATATGAAATGTCAATCACTATCTACTGTCTTCCTGATTACTCTTTTCTCTTTCTAGCCATTGTTAATGTTTCTGTTCCTAATTCTTCCACACCCTGTAAACCCATGGTCTCTTAGTGGCTTTACTGATTTGCTTGGGGTGGAACCGATTTAAAAAATTCCACCATAATGAGTTTTATATAATTTTATTTTTCCTTTTTATTATATAATTGTTTTTATACTAGCGTAGAATAAGATATGGCTCTGTACCCTGAAAAATGTCTGCTGTGTTTCTCTAGGCACATATGGATTTTTTTTTTTGTCGTGCAGCTTCCACTTTTTGACAAATTCGTAATCTTAGTTAGCTTATTACAGAGGTATTTACTTAGCTTCGCTTTATGTAAAACTACGTGTGTTATGCACTGAGAGAGGATCGAACCGGTTATATAGGCTTTCGGGCTAGTTGGCTAACAACTACTTAAGGATTTATTTTATTCGCAATGTCACCAGAAACGGTATTCATAAAAAAAAAAATGCCTCGATAGGTGAACGCAAAATTAAATTAAAACGCATCTTTCTTCCCTCTAGCCTCCAACATCCGCCACTCTAATCTCTAAGGCAGATAAGCTTAGATCAGCTGTAAGCCCCTGACAGAGGTGGGAGATGCTAAAAAAGAAAAAAAGAGGACGAGGCTAAATAAATAAAATAAAAATAAATAAAATAAAAATAAATAAAATAAAAATTGTCTGTGGGTGTAAAAATAATAGTTGTAAATAGGTTTAGACATAAATGACTAGTATTTACTTTACTTTTTTTTTTTGCTTACTTACTAAGCAATCTCTCTCTCTCTCTCTCTCTCTCTCTCTCTCTCTACTTTTACCTACATTCATCTCCAGATATTTACAAGTCTTGACTGTCTTACTCATTGGTATCAATTACCTGCCAGTTTGTTGTCTTTTCTTCTTTTCTCTCTGCTTTTTTTGTTGTTTACATTTGCAACACATGATTCTCTTTCGTCTATACATCAACTACAACTCTTTTTATTTGAACGGAGATGTATGACACAATAATGGAGGCAATACGAAAGCACTTATACCGACAGGAGAAAGGTAAGTTTAATATATATATATATATAATAATTATTATTATTTTTAAGGAAGAAGAAAAACGAATAATCATTATAGGAAAAAGAAAAACACGAGAACAATTTACTTACACACACACACAAACAAGAAAATACATTTTTTCAAGTTTATCTTTATCGGGATGAGAAGTTATCATTATTTAAGCTATTTATATATTCGGAGTATTGTTCACATCTTTGTTGTTGTTATAACAACGTTTCGACTGTTCTGCCATCCGGCCTTCCTCAGGGTTATATCGATCTGAACTGAACCCTTTATTTAATCTGCGCGGCTAGTCTCGGAATATCGTCTAGTTCTTACATTTATTTAGTACCGTTCAGTTATTGCTTTCATGTTTCGACTGAGTGCAAGTACACACTATCCTACCCAGGGATTGAACTTAAAGCCACTATGTCAACATAGTTTTTACCCAATAGGCCTTTGTCCCGTACCTGGAGCAGTGCATGGCCCGTGCGTATTGTTTCCGAATTTCCGGACTGGGGAGGGCCCAAGCCATATTGGGGGCCGCGTGCAGTGCTTTGTGACTCCTGCCATCTTATCAACACTTACTTTTTTTTTTTTACCTATATTTATTTATGTTACAAATTAAACTAAACGCAATTTTTACATCATTCTAGGGTTGTTTTTCTTTTCGTTCCTCCACATCCGTGAATTTGTTTTACTCATACAAAGTCTCGAAAAAAAATATTATATAAAATTCAATATTTTTTTCTCCATAATGTTGAATGTGTTAAAATCCTTCAGCTTTTTAGTTAAGAAAAATCATAAGTTGATATTAAAAATTGTCTCAAAACATTGTTAATTTAAGATGGAATGATCTATTATGACATGTCGCTAATTTGTATTTAGATGTATTGTTTTTATTTTCAATTTTTCTAGTTGAAGTATCCACCTATATTGCATATGATCCATTATTGTACATAATTAGATTGCAAGAAAAATATGTATTTTATATGGATACTACCTTATGAAAACTGAGATGTAGTAAAGTGAGATTTGAGCGTATCACAGATCCGGGTACCCCGTATCATAGATTCGGGGTACCCCGTATCATAGATTCGATGGGGACCCACGAGACCCTTGCACCGGTCCTGGAGTAGTGTCTATTTGCATTCAGTCGAAATGGGCGGATAATGACTGAATCGTACTAACAGATCACGACAGTTATGAGAGAGATACGATTAAATATACTTTAATGTTTTAAAAAATTATTCATTACTATTATTGTTTAGGTAATAAGCATTATAACATATCACAAATAGCTATATTGTGGAAAAAGGAATTTTCTACAATATACACATTTTTTACGTATTTATTATTATTTTTTTTAACTTTTATCAAAAACGACATTCTTGTCCATGTAGTTATGGATAATATTATACATTAATTACTACTTGTTTTTAATTAATAACTATTTGTGCTCAGTTGGTGATTTAATAATTTAATCAGTTTGCTCCTATCTATCTATCTATCTATCTATCTATCTATCTATCTATCTATCTATCTATCAGATGCTGATGTGTTAAAATTTTGGAATAATGCAATAATAAAAATTTAAATTACATCTCTCTGTAGATGTCACGAACTGTAAATAAAAATAAGAATTAGAAGATATCCCTAGACATGCGCAGTGGAACGGAACAGTCAAACCTCATAGATTAAAGAAAGGGTTCAGTTCAGAATTTCCTGTAGGTTACCCTGATCGATATACACCTGATGAAGGCCGGAGGGCACAACGGCCGAAACGTTGTGATAACAACAACAAAGATGAAGATAATAGTGCGAATATAAATCATGTAAATAAGCAAATACATTTATAACGCTTTTTAGACTAAATGAATGTTCTCTTTGTATATTTCGGTGGGAAATTTTCAACATATAAAATAAATGATTGAACTATTACGTAATATCAGTCCTCTAATATGGCAATGAATGCTGGACAATCACTTCACAGAATGAAGAAGAGATTTGAAATGTGTTTCTACAGAAGGATGCTCGGGACGCCATTGGCTAAACGTGAACGACGGTGAAGTTTTAGAGAAAACAGAAGAGAAAATGACACTTAAACTTTCTAGGGCACATAATGAGGAGCGATGTTTGGAAAATATGATACTCACAGGATAGATGGAAGGCAAGGGACTGAGGTAAACAATGCATGATATACCTATCGAAATTGAGTAAGTGTTTGACAGAAAAGGGTTTAGCAGAGATAATAAAATGACAAAATTCATTAAGAGCAACAAAGGACAGGAAATTGTAAACATTTACGATGCTTAGACGAGCGGATTATCAAAATTGCTATGAGAGCACTCGATCACCAAGTACAAGATTAGAATGAAATTAATGTCTGCCTGTCTGTAAGTATCTCTCTCTATTATCCTAATTAACCCTTATCTATCTATCTATCTATCTATCTATCTATCTATCTATCTATCTATCTATCTATCTCAGCTTGCTTTTATTTCAGTTTGCTCCTATCTATCTATCTATCTATCTATCTATCTATCTCAGCTTGCTTTTATTTCAGTTTGCTTCTATCTATCTATCTATCTATCTATTGCAATTTGCATCTATCTATCTATCTATCTATCTATCTATCTATCTATCTATCTATCTATCTATCTATCTATCTATCTATCTTAGTTTGCTTCTATTTTAGTTTGCTCCTATATATCTATCTATCTATCTATCTCAATTTGCCAATCATCGTAATATTTCTTTAACTGATGTTTATATTTTATTAAATCTTTTTTTAATCATTTTAAAAAAAAAGATAGTATTAATTTCTTCTTTTTACTGCTATTCCATTTTTTATTAAAAAGAAATAAAAAACAAAACAAATCTCCTTTCAGTCTTTTTTCAAAATAGTTTCAGTATTCTTTTTACTATTTTATTAATAACATTTAGAAATAAATGCATACAAGTTTCTCAGGACTAAAATATTTGACCGAGCGTTTCCCACACTTTGCTTAACAATTTCCGACAATAAAAGATCACCAAAAGCTCAGGGATTATTTATAAGTTAGATTTTTAAAAAGATAAACATTTAACAATCAGTTACGTGCCATACGTGACACAAGCTTAGGTGATCATGTATTTTTCGATACATGACTGACGATGCAGATTTTTTCCGTCATTAGGTTGCCATTTCTTTCTGCGGTAGACCAGTTGGCATCCAAGGCTATAGAACACAGTCTGTCCTGCTATTTACCCACAGCTGGGGAGGGGGAGAATAAAAGGATTCTAAAGAAGAAGAAGAAGAAGGATTCTGAAGAAGAAGAAGAAAAAGCAGAAGAAGAAGGATTCTGAAGGAGAAGAAGAAGAAGAAGCAGAAGAAGAAGAAGAAGAAGGAGGAGGATTCTGAAGAAGAAGAAGAAGAAGAAAAAGCAGAAGAAGAACTCAAAAGAAGAAGAAGAAGAAGAAGGAGGACTCTGAAGAAGAAGAAGAAGAAAAAGCAGAAAAAGAAGCAGAAGAAGAAGAAGAAGAAGAAGAAGAAGAAGAAGGATTCTGAAGAAGAAGAAGAAGCAGAAGAAGAAGAAGAAGAAGAAGAAGGATTCTGAAGAAGAAGAAGAAGCAGAAGACGAAGAAGCAGAAGAAGAAGAAGTAGGACTCAAAAGAAGAAGAAGAAGAAGGAGGAGGTCTCTGAAGAAGAAGAAGAAAAAGCAGAAGAAGAAGAAGAAGAAGAAGAAGAAGGACTCAAAAGAAGAAGAAGAAGAAGTAGAAGAAGGAGGAGGACTCTGAAGAAGAAGAAGAAGGATTCTGATGAAGAAGAAGAAGAAGAGGAAGAAGGATTCTGAAGAAGAAGAAGAAGAAGGATTCTGAAGAAGAAGAAGAAGAAGAAGAAGAAGAAGAAGAAGAAGAAGAAGGATTCTGAAGAAGAAGAAGCAGAAGAAGAAGAAGGACTCAAAAGAAGAAGCAGAAGGAGGAGGACTCTGAAGAAGAAGAAGAAGGATTCTGAAGAAGAAGAAGAAGAAGGATTCTGAAGAAGAAGAAGAAGAAGAAGAAGAAGAAGAAGGATTCTGAAGAAGAAGAAGAAGAAGAAGAAGAAGCAGAAGAAGAAGAAGGACTCAAAAGAAGAAGCAGAAGGAGGAGGACTCTGAAGAAGAAGAAGAAGGATTCTGAAGAAGAAGAAGAAGAGGAAGAAGGATTCTGAAGAAGAAGAAGAAGGATTCTGAAGAAGAAGAAGAAGAGGAAGAAGGATTCTGAAGAAGAAGAAGAAGAAGAAGAAGAAGAAGAAGAAGAAGCAGAAGAAGAAGAAGGACTCAAAAGAAGAAGCAGAAGGAGGAGGACTCTGAAGAAGAAGAAGAAGGATTCTGAAGAAGAAGAAGAAGAAGAGGAAGAAGGATTCTGAAGAAGAAGAAGAAGAAGGATTCTGAAGAAGAAGAAGAAGAAGAAGAAGAAGAAGGATTCTGATAAAAGAAGAAGCAGAAGAAGAAGAAGGACTCAAAAGAAGAAGCAGAAGGAGGAGGACTCTGAAGAAGAAGAAGAAGGATTCTGAAGAAGAAGAAGAAGAAGAAGAAGAAGGATTCTGAAGAAGAAGAAGAAGAAGAAGAAGAAGAAGAAGAAGAAGGATTCTGAAGAAGAAGAAGAAGAAGAAGAAGAAGAAGCAGAAGAAGAAGAAGGACTCAAAAGAAGAAGCAGAAGGAGGAGGACTCTGAAGAAGAAGAAGAAGGATTCTGAAGAAGAAGAAGAAGAGGAAGAAGGATTCTGAAGAAGAAGAAGAAGAAGGATTCTGAAGAAGAAGAAGAAGAAGAAGAGGAAGAAGGATTCTGAAGAAGAAGAAGAAGAAGAAGAAGAAGCAGAAGAAGAAGAAGGACTCAAAAGAAGAAGCAGAAGGAGGAGGACTCTGAAGAAGAAGAAGAAGGATTCTGAAGAAGAAGAAGAAGAAGAGGAAGAAGGATTCTGAAGAAGAAGAAGAAGAAGGATTCTGAAGAAGAAGAAGAAGAAGAAGAAGAAGAAGGATTCTGAAGAAGAAGAAGCAGAAGAAGAAGAAGAAGAAGAAGAAGAAGGATTCTGAAGAAGAAGAAGAAGAAGAAGAAGAAGGATTCTGAAGAAGAAGAAGAAGAAGAAGAAGAAGAAGGATTCTGAAGAAGAAGAAGAAGAAGAAGAAGAAGAAGAAGAAGGATTCTGAAGAAGAAGAAGCAGAAGAAGAAGAAGGACTCAAAAGAAGAAGCAGAAGGAGGAGGACTCTGAAGAAGAAGAAGAAGGATTCTGAAGAAGAAGAAGAAGAAGAAGGATTCTGAAGAAGAAGAAGAAGAAGAAGAAGAAGAAGAAGGATTCTGAAGAAGAAGAAGAAGAAGAAGAAGAAGAAGAAGGACTCAAAAGAAGAAGCAGAAGGAGGAGGACTCTGAAGAAGAAGAAGAAGGATTCTGAAGAAGAAGAAGGATTCTGAAGAAGAAGAAGGATTCTGAAGAAGAAGAAGAAGAAGAAGAAGAAGAAGAAGAAGCGGTGGCGGATGAAAAAGCAGGGAGTTCTGACCGAAAACACAGGCTTTTTAACTGTTTTTCGTGGTTTTTCGTTAAGCCGGACTAAATCCCCGTTATCTTATTTCTTGCATGATGACAAATCGATTAATAAATGATAAAGTTATTCAAGTTTTTATTTTAAGTTGTACAAAAAAACCAGATTTTTTCACAGTTTTTTTTCAATTTTTTGTTTGAAGCTAATGTGTCAAGAAAACACTTTACATAAACCTTTGTAACATGACCTCTGTTTTGTATTAAGTGAAAAAGAACATCAGCTCATCCAGTAAAAAAAAAATTGTTCACGTGTAACTTTTTGCAAAAAGTAGTACCCACCATCAGTTTTATCGATTTTTCTGCCAAACCCGGAGGGCCTGGTAACTGAAAAGTTGGTCATGACCTATGTGAGATGACATTTCCAAATTAACGATCATAAAGACAAGCTTAAGAAATTCGCTGTCTGAGGAGAATTTGGAATCATGCATGTTGCTTTCCATTGAAAAAGAATTATTAGATGAATTGGATGCAGAAGCAATTGGGTGATTCAAAACAATTATTTACTGAATAGAAACAGTTACTTTTAATATAGTGGACTGCATGCAATTCTTTATTGTGCTATTGAACTATCTGTTAATGTGTAAATTTGTAACTCTCACCTAGGGATTTTTCTTTTGCTGATGAATATACCTTCTGCCTTCTTACAAATGGCGGACTGGCCAGGGTATCAACTTGCCCGATGGAAAGTTGACCCCTGACTGAGTGGGCCTCGTATATCAAATAAAAATGCAATAAATAAACACTGACAAATATTTTAGACATAAAAATGAATGCAAACTTTATAAAGTTATCTACACACTATTAGTTATTCAAGTCCAATGTAAGAGGACATTTTCAAATTAACGATCATAAAGACAATAAGAATTTAGAATAAATGTTGCTAGCCATTTGATAAAGGAATTGTTAGATGAATTGAATGCAGAAGCAATTATTGGCAGATGCGAATAATAATCTAGTGAACACAAACGATTGCCCTTAATATAGTGGACTGCATACAATGCTCTATTGTGCTTTTGAACTGTCTGTTAATGTGTAAATTGTGCAGTAAACAATTTTAAAATATCAACCTGTTATTTAAAATTTTAAAGAGATAAATAAAAAATTGAATCATAACGTTCTTTATTTAAATTTGATATTTACTGCCAGTGATATGTACAGTACATGTAGCTGTAATTACTAAGAAATACACTTTTTTTACATAAAAAATTAAATTGTACGTTTTTTATTTTTTTTTTTTTTGCATATGTATTTTCTGAAAATTTTATTTATTCGTCATTGAAATTAAATGACAGCATTGTAGTTGTGGCTGTGCTCCGTCTGGCTTTTAGGACCTGTGCACAACATCTTGCAATTTATAGTTAGTCCTTTTATGCTCGCTTTCTTTTACTACCCTATCTAGAGGGCACGTTAATTTCTATTTCCGTGTCAGCCATCATTAGAGAATGATTTCCATATCTTATATTGTTAAGATAATAAATCCTGATAGGCTCTCCAGCTTCCACGTCTTTATTTATTCCACGTAATATAAAAGTGAAATAACGATAAAAAAAACAAAAAAACTATGTGAAGTGACTAAAGCTACGGTAGAAATTGCAATCATAAGTGTATACCAAATATTAAGTTGATCAGGAATTGATAAAAAATAGAAGTATCATTAGCGTATTGACCAAGATAAGTATAATCGAATAATTAAGTATAACTGTAAGTGTACTAATATCTCGAGAAAGGCATGGTTCCAAAAGAAAAAAAAAGTCTGCTGAGATTTGAGTTCTTGACAAAGATAACTGGTAATCTTACTTATTATAAAACGCAGATTTTGTGTGTGTGTGTGTGTGTGTGTGTGTGTGTCTGTACGTTTATATATTGGATCGGATTTCCTACATTTTTCAACCGATTTCAACGAAACTTCACAGGACTACGTAAAATTACATTGCAGTGGTTCTGACAGCGCCCCAAATGGGAAAAACACAATTGTTTTTGCACGAAATCAATTTGAAAAAACGATTAAGAAGCATTAATGAAAGGGGGACAACTCATATCGAGTTATACTTATTATTAGGTTGGTGCAAAAATAGTGACGTAATAATGTCGTTTTTTGACGTACTTTTTAACGTCAAAAAACGA